AGGTTGTTTATTTCCACCAGTATGGAGGCATGAGGTTACGTGCGAACCACCTACTTCGATCTCAAATTTACCGCCACAAATAAAGGCAGTTTCCGTTGGAGAAAGGAAATACAAATCATACAAATCTCAAAAATTCTTGTAATGTGATGAAGACATAAAACAATTTTGAGGAATGCGCCCGCTGCTCACTCAGTGCTTTGGAGTAGCTGTAGCTCAAGCTGACTTGACTCTAAGAGTTCTACATCACACGACGGTTGATTGACAAATGGTCCAGCGGGACCTAAGGCTCCTTTTACAGCACGCCTTCGTGTTTAAAAGTTCAGGTGAGTTGAACTATTTTTCAGATGGGGAGCTTTCTTACAAAACTCCAAAAAAGTCAAAAGCGTTTGCACAGGCACGTCTAACATTCGTAATATTTTCTCACACTTCAGTGTCTGGCTGCTTGATTGGGGTCGTAGCGACACGACGCGGGTAGCCGATCGAGTATGGCCCTTCTCTGTACTCACTTCTTCTAATCTAAATTTCACCCACTCTCTAGGGATCTCCGGAAATGGATGGCGACAATGGGGTGTACGGTTTCCTGATGAAATTCTCGTCTCCACTCTCATCGGCAATTTTACCAGCAGTAGAGGAATTGCTATCGCTATCTTCCTTCCGCTCAATGCTTTCACCTTTCTTTTTAACCAGATTTCTCTTACTCTGTGATTCATTCTTGTTCCGTTTAAAATTTTCATCTCTGGGAGGCGATTTGGTGTATTTGACACCCTTAATAGTTCTGTCCTTCGGTCCATCGAACGAATCTGAATTCCTGGATGACGGTGTGCAGCGGTTAACAACTTGACCATAACACTTCATTCCTAACATAAAGCCGATAATGAGACTTAACAACACCGCTGTCATGACAGCCACAGCCAGTAACCCTTTGTCATTCGAATCTACCAAGAAAATGAAAAGTTTAAAAATTAGCGACCCGAAACCACATTGCCTCTTTAACGCCTCCATTTGCAATTAGCAGCGATGTAAGAACGATAGTGGGAACGATAATTAAAATAATGTAAATCATTTAAAACGAGCTTTGACCCCACTAATATCAGACCTCTCTTAAGTGTCTCTTTTGTCTTGACCTACACGTAGGTCATCAGGGTTGCACAAAAGTGTCTTGAACGCGTCGAAGGATTAAAAGAGCAAGATGACTATTTTCGCATTATAATATACCATCGAGTAGGTAGATAGTCGGCCAACGAGAAAGAATATGCGACAGAAACAAACCTTCCTGCTTGGGTGGGTTAATAATGGCGAGAACGAGTAGTTTAAATTGTTCTACTGAAGATTATTGAATTGACACAACTAGGGTAGTTTGTGATTTCGAAATCACAAATCGAAATGCCTGAAGTCACTGCATAAAGACTGTTACCGAAATCACAAATCGAAATGCCTGAAGTCACTGCATAAAGACGGTTACCTTTCCCCTCTGTTGCTGGAGTAGGTTCTGAAAGAAAACGTTTACAATTACAAGGTACACAGTGAAGAAGTTCGATGGAGAAAAGGGAACTGCACTTTTTTCCATCCAGCACTAAAAATAAGGCCCCAACAACTCCAATAGGTTATTTCATGAAAACTGCACTTAGACAATGAGGCCAACGTTAAGCCTCTCTAATAAAATTATTTTAATTTGCACGAGAGAATAATAACTCATATTAACGTCAAAGGCTTTGCACCTACCCTTGTTTCAAGATTGAGGCTACTTAACCCCCCCCCCCCAAAAAAAGAAAATATATTCAAGAAAAATAGTGAAAAGGAGTAAAAAAGATAAATTGTTATGTATATGAGAACGATTCTTCGCAGTAAAGCACTATTTGAGCAATAGTGAAAATCAGACCTGAAAAAAATTTCAGGCCTGTACGGGATTCGAACCACTGAGTGCTTTACTGCGAAGAATCGTTCTCATATACGTCTCATAACCGCAGTTCACACATATGTTTCATATGTTTGTTGTTGATAAATTGTTATGTTTCAATTTCTCAAAATAAACTTGTTTCCGGAACACAGACACAAAACAATTTTGCGACAATGACCACAAAGCGCCCATGGGCAACATGAAGCGAATCCTGTCTTCTGATTGGCTACCTCAGCGGTCAAGATGGGCCCACCTTTCCCACTCGGGATTTCCCGTTTTTATCTCTCGCAAGAAAATCATTGCGTGCAACTGACTTACAAAGTTACTGTTTGGACAACGTCGGTAACGGAGTTGCCAAAAGCAGTAGAAGTCAGTCAAAACAAAACAAAACAAACAACACTCATGGGTTCATTTTGCTACAGACACAGTTGGCTTTCTTTCCCGTGTTTTGAAAAAGACAAGCCATTCTTGATTCTTGATAAAGCGAAATCTTTTCGCTATAAAATAAAACCCTTGTTGACAAAGCTTGTTCGGTCAAGGCGGTTGGATATTGGCCTTGTTCTTTTTTTGTTATTTGTTTTCATATGGACCTCGACCAAATCTGGGTCTTTTGAAATGCAAAAAAAAGAACATCCAGCCATCTTGACCTCAAGCTTGGTCAATAACACAAATGCACTGGGATGCATAACCAAGTTAATGAGAACGTAAGCCTAAATTAAGCATAGAGAAATGAATATATATTTTCCCATATTTCAGTCAAAGCACAAGTTCATTGAGTCTCTAACTTTATAATAAAATCGTTGAAAGATGAAATGAGGAAATGCCATAGTTTCAAAAAGTAAAACACCTATACATTAAATTAACAGCAGTCGAGCTGTAAAAAACGTTAGAAAGAATAGATTACTCAATTAATCAAAACTACAACTCTGACTTAATGAAGGAGGAATCACTGTTTACATAAAAACCGAGTCAAATATCTCGTGTCGTCTCGACCCTTGTCTTGGAAGTCCTTTGGCTCGAGGTCTATCCCTTCAAATCCAAGAGACCACTACTTATGGCAGGTGTTTTTCATTCCCCGAGTGTGAAGACCGAGTACGACCGAAAGCTCGCTAAAATATTGAACGCAATACCTCAATTAATGTGGGAGAGATTAACTTTGACTGACCTTCAGAAATATTTTGATAACCATCAACTGGTCAAAGAGGAGCGATTCTACGTATACTCCTCCTGCATCGCCTGTTACACGTCCCATCAGTAAATTATGCCTTGATCATACATGGACCCACAAACCGGATCGAATTGTACACATCGATGTCCAGGCATTTGTATTTGTGACCACCTTCCAGTTTTGGCAGTGCGTTTGTACAAAAGTTGTAACATGATTGGAAAAAGCATATCACATTACCCGCAATAAGCGAGAAACTAAAACTTACTTGGGACGCTTTCCATATTGAGAATATGTGATGCATCCACCGTTAGGTTCCCCACTTGTCCGGAAAACACACTTGCTTGCAATTCCTTCAACAAGTCATGGCTCGTTTCCGAAGCCTCAGCAGCAAAATTTATTGTCATTTGACAGAGAACACTTCCTCTCCTACGAATATCAGAAGGGTACGTGTCCTTCACTACAGAAATTCTACACTGTTTATTTTTCTTATTAAAAGTATAGCTACAGAGGCGGCAACCTATGAATCTCTGCTAGTCTTGGTAATCGAATGCAGGCGAACTTTACATGAAAGCACAGCGATCAGTAGTGACGATTTCACAAATTTTGAACAGGGTCTCGCTCTTAGCCAATAAGAGAGCGCGTTATGTCGGCCACAGGCCTAAGCAATATGATAACTTGACATGCATCTATAGGACTTTTTAGAAATACAGTCGAACCTGTATTAAGCGACGGGTGACCGTTTAATACAGATTCCACAGAATAGGGGTATTATAAAAAACGATACACAACTCCACTTAATGCCCCAGTTGATTACTTCACGAACAGAATAGCGCTCCAACATACTACCTACTTGAAGGTCTTTCTTTTTTTAGTTTCATTTGAGTGGTTATGCTTTAGGGACCGTTAAGTTCAGGTGGAACACAATACAAACTAGTCGTTGGGACTCAGTTAAGGTTGACCACATAATAGAAATAAAAATTACAGTGATTAAGGGGAAACAAATTCAGGACTTTGACAACCGAACGCTTAATACAGGGTGACCGCTTAATAAAGGTTTGACGGTACTGACGAATACCGGAAAGTCTCCTGTTCAAACACATGATATTCTGACTCCACTTACAAGAGGCATCATTTGGAATACGTCAGTCAACCATCTGATGCAGCTGCGTACTCGTCACAAAATCATTATCTCATAGCAAGATATAACTGTAACTTCTTATTTAAAACGCATGTTACACCAGGTGCGAAAAACCACTAGTCAGGACCACCAACGAGAAGTGGTCGAAAAAATATATGAAAACGTATTCCGCCTCTAAAATCCTCCAGCCATGAGAAAGAGATTAATTCCAAAAGTATGGTTGCCACCACCATATTTTTTGGGGAGGAATTTCCCTTGCAGGCCTAAATACATAAACAATGTACGAAAAAAAAAGGTTACTCCAAAAACATACAGATCTAAACCGAAACAACATAAACTATCGAAAACGAAACTTTCCAAATAATATACAAGTGATCACGACGTCTGACATGACTTGGAATGCCGCTAGTACCGCACCAAAACGATAAACTATTCGAAATTATCTCTGGAACACCCGCGCGCCTCAAAAACACGCCGTACGAATACCATTTCAGAATTATTATCAATTTAAGACTCTTGTTTTTTAATCTTAACTTATCTAATTTTTTGGATATATCAACAAAGTTGAAATGGTAATTGGCCACCGTAACGATTACAAAAGCTGACGTTTCGAGCGTTAGCCCTTCGTCGGAGCGAATAGAGGAATTGTGGGTTGTGTGTGCTTTTAAAGGCAGAAAATGGAGCTACGTTATTGGTGGGAACATGGCAACGAGAAAAACACGAATAAATTAGTGGAATGAAAAGCGTTCGTTGATCCCTGTGGGATTTAGACTGCCGGTTTGAAAGATGAGCTTTTGTTCAAGAGTTTTACGGCTTTCCGTGCTACCTAAGTGTAAGGAAAGACCGCAGATTGCCATATGTTGCTTAGAATGATTAGGTAAATTAAAATGTCTAGCGACTGGTTTCGATGTGTCCTTGTCATTCCTTTCCACGTCTCGAAGGTGTTCTCGGAATCGGTCACCTAGTCTTCTGCCTGTTTCGCCGATGTATATCTTTTTGCAATAAGTGCAAGTTATGCAATAGATTACATTGGCGGAGGTGCACGTGAAGTGATCGGTGATCTTAATGGATCGTTTAGGTCCCGATATTTTATCAGTGTTGTGAATGAAAGGACACGTTTTGCATCGTGCACGAGCGCATTTAAAAGTGCCTGGTTGGTCATTAGTCTGAAAAGAACTTCTGACCAAAAAATTGCCTATGTTTTTGTCGCGTTTGAATGAAATGAGCGGAGGCTGCGAAAAGATAGTGCTTGTCTCTGGATCGTTTTGAAGTAATTTAAAGTTTTTAAGAATGATGGATTTAACTGAGTGGTTGTGAGGGTGAAACGTGAGAGTGAATGGAATGCGGTCGGAATCTTCCTTATGCGACGTTTGTAGTGCTGAATGTCGATCAATAAGTTGGGCGCGGTGGTAACCCGCTTGAACGACAGAAACAGGGTAACCACGTTTATCGAAAAACTGGCACATTGACTCTGATTTGTGGTGGAAATCAGAGTCATCACTACATAAACGACGAAGTCTTAGAAACTGAGAAAAAGGAATGGAATTCTTAACGTGAGATGGATGCGAAGACGAATATAACAAGTAATTATGCGAGTCTGTAGGTTTGTAATACACACTAGTGCATAAACCGTTACCTTCAATTGAAACTTTGATGTCTAAAAAGGATAAAGAATTGTCAGAAATTTCCCAGGTATATTTCAGAGCCGGGTGAAAAGAATTGACTGCGGTTATGAATTGAGTGAGCTCCTCTCTGGTAGAGGAGGTAGCGCCGATACAGTCGTCGATGTAGCGACCGTAGAGTTCAGGTTTGGACCCGTTGTATTGGCTGAAAAATTGATGTTCGACAAAACCTACAAAAAGATTGGCATAGCTAGGTCCCATTTTGGTGCCCATGGCTACACCATTGGTTTGTTTGAAGAAGTTGTTTCCGAATGAAAAACAATTGAGTGTGAGCACTAGTTCGGCTAAGCGTAGTAGTGTTTCAGATTTAGGTTCCTTAACAGTACGTTGATCAAAAAAATGTTTAAGGGCCAGAAGGCCTTCGCCATTAGGAATGACAGTGTAAAGAGACGTAATATCCATGGTGAAAAGAAGTTTGTTTTGGCCAAGGAAATTAAAGTCTCGAAAAATTTGAAGAGCGTGTTGGCTGTCTTTAATATATGATGGTAAAGTTTTGACGATGGGAGCCATAATTTTGTCTAGATAGCTGNTACCTGGGAAATTTCTGACAATTCTTTATCCTTTTTAGACGTCAAAGTTTCAATTGAAGGTAACGGTTTATGCACTAGTGTGTATTACAAACCTACAGACTCGCATAATTACTTGTTATATTCGTCTTCGCATCCATCTCACGTTAAGAATTCCATTCCTTTTTCTCAGTTTCTAAGACTTCGTCGTTTATGTAGTGATGACTCTGATTTCCACCACAAATCAGAGTCAATGTGCCAGTTCTTCGATAAACGTGGTTACCCTGTTTCCGTCGTTCAAGCGGGTTACCACCGCGCTCAACTTATTGATCGACATTCAGCACTACAAACGTCACAAAAGGAAGATTCCGACCGCATTCCATTCACTCTCACGTTTCACCCTCACAACCACTCAGTTAAATCCATCATTCTTAAAAACTTTAAATTACTTCAAAACGATCCAGAGACAAGCACTATCTTTTCGCAGCCTCCGCTCATTTCATTCAAACGCGACAAAAACATAGGCAATTTTTTGGTCAGAAGTTCTTTTCAGACTAATGACCAACCAGGCACTTTTAAATGCGCTCGTGCACGATGCAAAACGTGTCCTTTCATTCACAACACTGATAAAATATCGGGACCTAAACGATCCATTAAGATCACCGATCACTTCACGTGCACCTCCGCCAATGTAATCTATTGCATAACTTGCACTTATTGCAAAAAGATATACATCGGCGAAACAGGCAGAAGACTAGGTGACCGATTCCGAGAACACCTTCGAGACGTGGAAAAGAATGACAAGGACACATCGAAACCAGTCGCTAGACATTTTAATTTACCTAATCATTCTAAGCAACATATGGCAATCTGCGGTCTTTCCTTACACTTAGGTAGCACGGAAAGCCGTAAAAATCTTGAACAAAAGCTCATCTTTCAAACCGGCAGTCTAAATCCCACAGGGATCAACGAACGCTTTTCATTCCACTAATTTATTCGTGTTTTTCTCGTTGCCATGTTCCCACCAATAACGTAGCTCCATTTTCTGCCTTTAAAAGCACACACAACCCACAATTCCTCTATTCGCTCCGACGAAGGGCTAACGCTCGAAACGTCAGCTTTTGTAATCGTTACGGTGGCCAATTTACCATTTCAACTTTGTTGATATATCCAAATTATTTCGTTACTCCCACCGACGCAGCCCTAAACAGTTTCTTTCGAAACTATCAGCCTTTATCTAATTTTTGTTCCGAAAGTTGAGTTTTCGTACAGGTAATCGCGCGTTCGGTGCCCCAGGAACACGATTCTAAATTGTCTTTTTAAGGACAATTTAGATTTTAACAGGTAAGAAATAACTACATGATATACAGAATATTACTGTAATATGTTATTATCGTATAGTTATTGATTTAACATGTCCACTTGTGGATACGATAAATCTTTTCGTTTTGATATCTCTCACGTGCTACCACGTGCAGTCGCACGCTAATTTATAACCACGCGTGGCCATATTATAATCTCTACATCTAAATAGTCTGTTTAGGTTTTTTACTTGACAGTTTTTTTTCCTTTCTGCTTTCAATAAATGTTCTTATTTCGTTTCCCCTGTTACCTTCTGTTGTTTCCACACATAAGATTTACCAATAATGAAATTGACCTTACCTAAATGAAATATCCTTTACACTCACAAATGCAGGACTTTTACAGTAGATTTCTTGTACCTAGCAAAATTAATTAAAACTGATCAGATAAAGAAAGTAATGTTACAAAACTATGCAAATGAAAATTTCTGGAATACAAACCGCGGTTCTAACTTGACCTGCCAGGTTTTTATATCTTTCTGAAGGTCTTTTAGAAAGTTCTAAACTCCAATCCTCATTTGTGAGCTCCATTTCAGCTCTGACTGGTTTATCTGTAAAGAGTCAAATGGTTTTTGTTTTAGTCTATCTTTCAAACTGTTCATAATGTGTAGTCGAGGTACCTAACTCTATTTTAAATAAACGTTGTATCCTGTTATAGAAAATGTTGTTGTTCATCTTGGCTTTATAAATAAACAGTTCTCTAAATAAATTGTTTGTCTAAAGATGTATGCACCAAAAAGTGAAAAAAATGCACCAATGACAGCGCACCACAAGAAATCAAGCTAACCCTAAACTTTCGACCTCGTCGCCTGACGAAAGCTGGTAGCATAGTCGAAACGTCGCGATCAATAAAATACTGATTAGCCTGACTCTTACATCGTAAGACACAATTAGACGTTAACTTATAGTTGTTGTTAGGTTTGTTTTCGAAAAAGATAAACATTTTTTACCTCCAGATAAAGCGCAATTACGTTTAAGAACTCTCAAATCTGTAAAAAACGTAAATCAAGTCTAAAAAGCAAAATTGGTTCTGCCCCCACCAGATGAAAATGCTGTGGAAAAGTGCTCTTAAATGCACGTAAACGAATAGCCGGCTATCAAAGATTTACATGGTGGACGTACAACAGATAGGAAAAAGAAACAGGAGGATTACTCCATCGTGAGTTAAGCGGGAGACTTAGATGTTGCAGAACGTGATTTCTGGCCACAAGGGGCCAGGTCATGTGATTTAACATATAACAACGGCTACGGGTAATTAGCTTTAGTCAACTGATGAGAGGTCAGGGGCCTCCCTATTAGAAGGCGGCCTAGTAGTGGAAAGCAGCACCTCTTGAAATATATCGCAACGCTCTGCCTAATGACCGAAACTACTTTCTCATCGTATTGATCCTGGGGAAATGCTCTTTATGAGGTTAGATTTACTAAATCTTATCTTTTTTCCTATACTTCATGCATTGGATCTGATAGACATGTGGAATGACAAGTCTACTTCTAGTACAGTACGAATCAGTAGCTCAAATACCAAGGCTAAAGCTTGGAACTGTGTTGCTCTTACAAGTATCAATATCCACACCACACATGATAACTTATTATGATCAACCTCTCACAAAATACATGAGTTTCGCTTGGTGGGATTCTGGAAATGCGAGGTCATTCGTTACCAGGTCTGTTATTGGTATCTCCTCCTTTGTTATTGTTATCTCCTCTTTCAGTCCATGATTTAATTTAGTCCACACTTCTCTTTCGTAACTCTTTAGGGATAGATAGATTACATTTTGTTGTTGTTGTTGTTGTTTTTAATTTGGTGTATCTGATTGAAATTGGTGTCCAAGTAGCATGAGGCAAAAACACGTAAGCCTTAGCTTTAAAGGTTGCAAAATGAAAATCAGTGTACATGTATTGTGTAGACCAGACCAGTTATCTCGAAATGAATTCTTAAAAAAATTGACAAATAAATAATCTATAAAGTAAAAATTATTAGCCATAGGCAGGGTTCTTCAGAAATTACCAGCATTTCGGTTTTTACTTATCCTGTTAAAATAACTCAATCAAACCAATACCCCTCATCAACCGAGTTCGAGGTCCGTACTGTAGAATACGGACCAGGTTTTTTTTTTTCCTTTGGGAAAAAACTAAGAATCTACAAGTACAGACCGAGAAGAAAGTCACTGAGAAAATAATTATATCTCTTCTGTAGGCAGGTAGGTCCGTCGGATTATGCTAACGATTCCCAGTCGCTCTGGTCAAGTAGAACGACTTCAAATGACTGACGCACTTCTAAAGCAAAACGAGTTGAAAACGTTTAGCAGTCGCAAGTGAGATGAAAATAAAAGAAAATAAAGAAAATCCACAGGTTCACTTGAGTTGAGAATGGCAGGCGACAAATAACGTGACATTTTGGCGACAAAAAGACCTTCAAATTTTTACCGGCCGTGTACAGCCCACTAAACTGACTGATCCCAGCACGTGTAGTAACCAAGAGATAAGGTAAGTCGTCACTAGTCGCATCATATACTCTTCTTACAGGAAAAAAAGCAAGTTAGATAAACATAAAAGTACACCTAACCTTTTATGTATGAATCAATATTTTTGCTCGCATACTTTCTCGTTTTGTCTTTCTCATAACATTTTAAAGATGTGCAACACAAAACACTGAAAACGTACCATTGATGTCAATCGCTTTGCTAAATGATACTCCAAAGTAGTTGTGTGCCACGCAGTAATATGACCTTTGGCCTTCATCATCAGTAATGGTTGTTTGACGTGCTAGAACGACAAGTGTGGTGTTCCCGGTCACCTTGTAGATAGTTATACGTGGAATGGGCAACCCACTTCCATTACACAAAAACAGAGACTCATCTCTCATTCTCACCAGAGAATATGCGACGACAGGCAAAGAACCTGACGAAAAGGTAAAGAAAAAGTAGACAGTCTGAGACTACATGTGGCTACTGATATGGCACAACTTCTATAGTATTGATAAAAATAAAGGCTGTATAATAAAGCTAGAAGGTAGTGTTGCAGAATATTTGTATTCCCTCCTGCCACATTCCAAATATTTATGAGTAACCTGTTCTACTAGAAAAAGATGTTTCAAGAATATATTGACTAATTGACATTCAACCAATAATTTGTGCGAATTCTTATAACCCGTTAGTTATATGCTAATGAGTTTTCAGTCGTGCATGTCCAACCAGGTCACGAATCAAAAGAACATTAGAGATACGTTAGACTGTACAGGACTCGGTGTTCAAAACAAGTGTTTTTCTTAGTCACGCGTTATCCTGAAATGATTGTCAGATGTTTATCGTCTTCTGCTGTCTTCTGCAGTGTCACGGCAAGAACTGAAAACGTAATGCGCTTGTGGCTGTAAGATTGAGATCACTAAAGGAGAGATTTCAACTGTGTAATAAGAATAAAAATAAGCACCGGAAATCATCGAGTCAAATTTGGGTCAAGATCGAAATGCCATTGTTACTTACCGTCACTCACTCATTCACCCACTCACTCACGCACGCACGCACGCACTCACTCATCCCCTTACATAGCGGCTTCGCCTCCTATTAAATAGGAGGCAGTAGCCTTAATAAGATCAAAGATGATAACATAATGTGTTAGTTGCTACAACTCAGAAATCACTAAAGGAGAGAACTCAACAGTGAATCGGATGTCGAACTACTACGACACTCTGAAACAAACAAAAAGTAGCACCGGGAAACTTTGGGTCGATTCGAAATTCTCTTGTTACTATCAGTCTCTCACTCATCTCGACGACAAATGTGACTTCGCCTCCTAAAGTAATTAGGAGCTGTACCCACTGCTGTATCTGTCGTTACTTCCTCTGCTGGTACTACATTACAAACTTAAGTCTATGATCTATACCACGTAATACTTTATCACGTAATTCCACAGAGCTCGAGAACTAGTTTGAACGAATTCGAGTTGCAAAGCTTGGTTAAGATTCGAAGAATTAATTTTATAACATAACCAAAGTAAAGCGCGCGCTCTGATTGGTCAATTTAGCGTCCCCCATTTGCCCATGGGTGTACGCTGCTGACGTGAGCAAATGCAAAGACTACTTTTACGCGCGCGCTTGTCTTTTCTGGTCGCGTAAGATTTGTTAAATAAAAGGGAACTCTTTAGCTACAATGTATCAATGTTATGTTATAAAACAAATGGTAAACACCACAGCGTACACTATTGAGTTATGGATGCACTTGGGAGGTTTGCTAAGCACTCAAGAAGCTAGAGTCGCTCTCGGCTATCGCCTCGAGCGACTCTTACGCTTCTCTCGTGCTTAGCAACCTCCCGCGTGCATCCATAACTCAATAGTGTACGCTGTGGTGTTTACCATTTGTTAATTGTCCTCTTGATCTCTTGCAAATAACATTGTGGACACCCTTAATGAAGTTACCCGCGAGATTTATGACACACGAAGACGACCCCACTTCATTAGACACAAAACAATGATAATCGCCAAGGTGCTGGAGCCCAAAGTTGTTTATGTCTAATCTTTCCTGATGACTCGTCAGTGAAGAGTTTCTGCGGCAGTCTGAATGAGCACAAAGAGTCTTTGAATCTTTTTCCAATCTGATCACTTTAGGAAGTGGGACTCCATCTCCTTGACAAATCAAACTATTAACATGTCCCTTTTGGTCCAGAGAAGACGTCAATGAACACAACGGAATCTCTAATAAAAGGAGAAACTGGAGTGTGGTAAGATCCATTATGATGAAAACGCAATAATATCATAAAACAAATTTAGTTGTACATCTCTAGGATGTCCTTTTCCTTAGGCCCATGCTGTCTTCGTCCCTTTGGGTGGCTTATAAATTTGTAAGGTGCTTCTGTATTGATTATTCATTACCGTGGTGTTTAGCCCATCTAGACAGACTTTGTTTTAGAAGGTTCAAAATATAACAACTCGGGAGATTCGTTGCATCAAATTAGTTGTATCACTATGAGCTAGTCAAGATTGGGTGCAAGAAACTGGGCCAACGAGTTAACGCTTGAGTCATTAGCAAATGCAGCCTAACCCTTACCCTAACTTCCTTTACTAGCAGTCCCATTCTTCTTTTCATGTCCTTAATCAATTTTCACAACTTTTTTGGGGGGGGTGACGACGTTGCTCAGTGGCTTAATGTTATTGTTCTTCGTAATCACTCTTACCTCGCGGACAAAGTCTGGAGAAATTACCGTAAACAATGTCTTGTAACCAGCCACTGTTAAAGGCAAAGGACATGTACCCATAAGTATGGAAATGAGAAGTGAAAAAAGAAAAACTGATCACGAGTGACGCCCGATTCCTTGGCGTAATCAATTCTGAGTACCTTCCTTTCTTGTTATCAAATGTTGTGCACGTGTTGTCACTCCATCCACAGTAAGGATCCAAAGCGGAAACACAAGTCCTAAACAAGGAGAAATTCAGTACAGTACCACTTAGCTGCTATGATAAACTTCCGATATAACACACGCTGTCATTGGCTGAAAGAGCGTGCTCTATCAGTTTACAAAACACGGAGCTGAGCCAAAGCTGTCATGCCAGCTGTCAACTTGTACTATGTCCGACCATTTCCCGGACCTCTCTCTAGCTTTTTTTCGTTAATTAAAGGTGAAATCTTGAACAAGCGAGCCGGCAAGTAGCAAAAAAAAAAAAAACCAAACAAAGGTTTGTAAACGAGCCAAGTGCCGTAAATGAGGTTATCATAATGTGAACAGAGACGAAAATCCTCAAATAAATAAATAAATATAAATAAATAGATAAATAATTTAGCAATGGAAATTCTACTGGGTGGCTCTTCTTGTCCACTGTTTCCTGATCGAGTTGTAAATTTGGAATGTTGCTTTTTACGGAGGGAGGAAAACCGGAAGGCCCGGAGAAAAACCCCCGGAGCAAGGACGAGAACCAACAACAAACTCAACCCACATGTGACGCCAGGGCCGGGAATCGAACCCGGGTCACAGTGGTGGGAGGCAGGCTCGTAACTTTTCCAGAGAAGAAAATCATTTCGTGCCCCCCCCCCCCCCAAAATATGAAAGTCACCGATCACTGACTTTCTTCTTATCTAACCTTCCAATAAATTTAGTGAAAACTCGGAAGAGGTTCACCTGCAGCTCGTAAATTCACTACAGTGCTCCACTGGCAGCTTTGTGACACCCGAATCACTTCCGATGCAAACGGCTCCCTATAGACAAACCAAAAACAAAACACGTCAAGACTTACCATAGCATACGCCTGGTCTGTGTTAAATATACATTGTAACTTATAATTGTAAAATATATATTCATGCACACACACACACACACACACACACACACACACACACATTTAGCAAATTTAGTTTTTAGGTTTTATCTCTGGTAATTTGACCACTGTTTTGTTTGTAGCATGGTTTTTTGTCATCTTTTTATTAGCACCAGTTCATTAGTCGTCACCTGTAAATTACGTAATAACTAGCACTTCGATCTTATTTAAAGCCCTTTTTTTAATTCAAAAGTTGTAAATAACTGAAGAAGTTCTCTGACCGAAACGTTTTTATTAAAAATTTTTATCTTTTTTTACGTCAGTTGTCCATCCTCGCATTTTCTACGTTCGTGTTTGCTGTGAGGCTTAGACTGCGAATCTTTATTGATCCTCCTGGCGCGGTCAGTGCACCTTTGTTAGCCTGAGAGTACTACCTACCTATCTAAGCCAGATAGATAGATAGATATATTTATAGCTCTTTGGCATACAAAGCCCTGCTTTCATGTCCAAATTGAGCACTGTGGGATGAGTCATTGCCGCTAGCATTGCGCATAGCTCACTAGACTTTTCTAGTTTGAGCACTCTGGCATGGCTTAGACGATACCCCAAATGTGGGATCGTTTGGGGTGACCAGATCGGTTCTCCCCCATCCTAGCATCAGCACTGCACTGATGAGGCCCAGAAGGCCGAAACAGTTCCGTCTGCTGTTAGATGGGATGAGTCATCGCCGCTCGCATTGTGCACAGCTCTTCTAGCATTGTGCACAGGCTCTTCTAGTTTGAGCACTCTGGCATGGCTTAGACGATACCCACAAGTGTGGGATCGTTTGGGGATCCATATCGGTTCTCCCCCATCCTAGCATCAGCACTGCACTGATGAGGCCCAGAATGCCGAAACAGTACTGTCTGCAGTTATATATATATTTTGAAAGAAAATTTGAACCCACGTCGCCCCGTCTACTAGTCGGGTCTCCCGGGAAATTTTACTTTCAAGGTGACAAGGTAGGGGAAGCCTGTAACTCCATATGAAACCAAACTAAGGATCAATTGAAGATATACGACGGAGGTCAACTTAGCGGATGACGAAGGAGGATCCAATTACTGATACTGGCTTATTTCAATTAAACAAATCTGTATATGAGGGAAAACCTGACCCTGTACACCCCAAATAATCATACTTAAATAAAAGAAATGTTTGAAAGAAAATTTGCCCTGAGCGGGAAATGTAAAATTGAAATTACTATCATTCGCAAACATTTTCTCTGTAAAACCGTAATGTCTTCTTCCCAACACTATTCTAAAAACCGTGAATCAGTCGCGCTTCTTTTAGATTCAAAACCTTGATGACACTACTCTCTACAGAGGATATGAATAGGATTTCCTGAGGAAGACAAATTTTGGACAAACCTCTCACAATAAGCTGCTTATCGAATGTGGGATGTTTCCTCATCTCGAGGATAATCAAATTAATGAGCTCAGAGGGTTAACTTGAAATCGCATCAGTATATAACTTAAATCAACTTCAAATTAATAGAAGCGCCTTTAGAACAGCAGTTTGGGTAGTTGGCAGGCACCCTCGTACTTAGTTGAATGAACCAAACAAGCTTGCCGAATAATGCAATCAACACTGTGGGATTCTGTGGCAGAAACACAGGGAAAAGGAAAGTGAAAGAACACTACGAAAGCCTTCGGAAATAGCCAAATATTACGATGTATTAATAGCGTTATTTAAACACCGTCTCTTGAGCATAGTATATCAGCAAAAACCTCTGCTCAAACGCTTTCAGGGTAAAGTAAGATATCATACTTTTCATGTTCCCACCTTCACAATAACAACTCACCTTGTAAAGTTTCATTGTATAGATAGGTTCTGGATTCTGAAATGAAAACGTTAACAAAGAAATGAAAACAACAAATCAACTCCTAGCAGTTAGGCTGGTTAGATAGAGCAAATTTCAACTGAACTTTAAATATAATTGACAGTTAGTGTGGTTTTGCCACCCTATGTTTTGTGATTGGCTTTAGAAACTACACCACCATCTCAACCAATCAGAGGCAATTCGTAAACAAATCGAGTAGTGACCACTCTTGATTTCCTACTCTCGAGACTACTCCTCACACCACTCAAATAGATGTATTTCACGTTCATTAACATTGGTTCCTGGCAATACTTTGCTCTGATTAGCTGATGTAGATAAGGTAAATAAGCTTATGTGAGATCTCAGCTATTACAAAACAAAGGAAACACTAATGCAATATGGAAGAAAATTAACAACTACCTACCAAAGAAGTGCAAAAGCCGCCCTATTATTCCTGACAACCCAGTTTTCCTTGGCTAATAGATTCAATGAATATTTTACCTCTGTTGCAAGTTCAGCAGCTCAGGAAGCTTACGATCTTGCTTGTGTACATAATTATCATATCAATCCCGCTATGCCAACCCTCTTTCCAACGCCTGATGATTGCCCTGACTTATTTCGATTTCACCCCGTACTGGAGAAGGATGTTGAAGGTGTAATTAAGGGCTTCTCTTCCAACAAAGCACCAGGTCGTGACAAGATTACTACCCGCGTCCTCAAGGACTGTTTGCCAGTCATAGTACCA